CTGTCCAGGCATGCCATACGCAGCTAATATTTTAAATTCGTTAGTTTCTCGGTGAAAGTGATCTTTTGATAACAACCGGATCATCCAATTCGCTTATCAATACAAACCCTTCCATTGTCAGATATTTATATGTAGAAGTTTCCTTGAAAAAAAAAAGAAAAATAACTACATCGCCATTTATATTACGTATAGAGGTTGAAACAAAATAGGAGATCAATTTTTTTGATAGTGATAAAAGCATGTAAATATCACATATATTAATTTGATTCTGTCAAACCTTTACATATTAAGGTAAGCAATAAGAAGAAAACAAGATCAAAATAATATAATCAAGGAGAACGATACACATTGTTCGACTTCAAAATAATTACATATGGTCTTTTTTTATTTCCTCGACTGAATGGAGGGTCATACGAAATAAAACGAGTTTGCGGATTTCTATGTTTATTTGCAGTTCGATGTACGGTCAAGCGTTCATGTATTTAAAACGATTTTCTAAAAAGTTTGACCAAAGGTAATCGAGTTAGAGAAATCCGAATCTGAGGTCGGTTTTTTTATTTGAGCTTTCATTGTTCAGAAAATGAACCAATCAGAAACGACTTTTTTCCTCGACTGAAGGGCGGATGAAATAAAATAAAATGAGTTTGTATGCTTGCTTGCAAGTATGTTTGCAAGCACGTGCTAACTCACCTCTAGACAGATAATTGCGAGGGTTTAGAGCAACTATGCGAAATGAGGTATTTTCATAGTCGTTACTCAACCAATTAGGCGTGTTTGGTATTTTGGCCTCTTGCAATCAGATCTTTTGAAGTGTTTGAATTCAACCGATCAGATTTTTCACGATCTATCTGTCGTATAGGGTGTGGGTGTGGATGCGTGCGGGCGTGTATAGAACAGTTCAAGTCACACCCCACCCCCACACCAACACATACACATCTCTCGTCGATATACTAACATGTGCTAAACAAAGATTTCCGTATTTTTAAGTATATACATCAATACACGATGATGAATATCTGTTCACCTATCTTTCTTAATCAAAAGTTATCTTAAAACAAAAGAGACTATGGTTGTTGTTGTGCATACAGGTTATACCTTTGACCGCACCCACGCCCACACTCATCTTGTAGTTGTAGTACAATTTATTCTAAAATATCCGTTAGAATCGTCTAAAACTGATTCAACTCTTATTTTTTTTTATCAAACTTCAATTTTTTCCAATTATGAAAATATTGATGGCAGCGCCCTCTGAAGGTTCACATTACGAGAGGATGGAACAATTTTCAGTTGCATTGCTTGCATCATGATTGCGTAAGGACACGTCATCATTACTATTCTCCTCCTCCTTTGTTACTAATGCAAAATGAATCTATTATTACAACCAGTCATTTGAGTCAAATTACATGCTTCTGTAAATGGGCGAAGGTGTAGCACTCACTTCGTTTCATTATCTACTTCTTGTCCTATATTATGTCTGTTGTCGATTTGCCTTTGTTTGATTACTCATATCATTGATGCGGTGCAAATTGGATCGTGTCTGATTCAGCCACTGATTTCTATTTGGATAGTTATAACTGGTCTGATTTTACTCATACCAAGCTTTGCTGCTTTTATCTTCGTAATTTTTATATAGTTTTTCAAAAGTCAGGAACTCCTGTCCTGCTTGTCACGACTATAGTTCTGACAATATGGGTCTTTCTGGTAAGCAATATCCACATGTTATTTCTTGTGTATTATTCTATGATAAGCTCTATAACAAATATTACAGATCAGAGATTTTCTCATTTGAATCAAAATGATATCATTATGAATAAGAAGCAAACAAATGTTTCTGATATTTTTGACATGCAAATCTTCACATCATTAATTTTACTTGATAGTCCGAACTTGATGTAAAAAGAGTTGCATTTGGAGCGAATTCATTTCCTTTTGAAACTATGGAATATGAATTAAATAAATAGAAACAATATCATAGTGTTCAAAACGAATGAAAGTCGGAATTAATTTGGAGAAAATCATCTTCTATATTCTAACGCTTTACTTTTCAAAAGGCGCCAAAATCATTTTGTAATTTGGCGCTCGTTTTTAATTCCTAATTAATCTTTTTTTTATAAAGTTAACTCGCGATAAGTGAATGAAATGAAACAAGATGAAAGTTTCAGGTTGGACGTAAGATAGTGTAAGCTTTTTAAAACAATGATTTGAAACTACACAACGTCATGGCAACGAGAGTGCTGTCATTTGACGCTGTGCAATATAAGTTTTGCAGATTTCTTTCTCCAGTCACCCAGAAGTTTACACTTTTGGTTTTACCGATAGAAATCTGAACAATTGAGCTAAAAGAGCTTTACAAGCTCGTCAAGCTATCAATTTGTATTTTAAAATTATTACGAAAAAAGCGATTGTAAAATGAGAATGGTGCCATTTTTGCCGAAATATAAATAGCTTCTAAATGCGACTGGTCATATCCATGGTGGATCAGTTTTTTCCCATAAGATTGAAACTCACATATCCATCATATTTGCATGAAATGTTTTTGTTAAGTACCTCAAGCATTACAAAACAGATAGAAAAATCTTTTTACAAGATATATTTAGCACTTAGGAAGTTGAAAAGTTTTCTCGAATATGTGCTTGCAATTTGCAAACTGTCTTCTATTCAATCAAAAACAATAAAGTTTCTAGCACTTTATCGATTTGAAAATCAGGCTCAATGCTTTTGCCACTAATGATATACCGCAGGTTATTGTCTTCCCAGAATCTAACCCAAAGGGTAATCGAAAAACTGGCAAATGTCTATCTAGAAATATATGACTCGACTCATCTGAGAAAACAATGGAAACAATATAATTATCTGTGGTTTTGAAAATTCAAATGCTTTACCTGTCTGCACGAAGCTTTTAGGTTCTTGTATAAATCACGGCAGAAAGTTATTTCTTTCAGATACTTTTTTACTCATTCAATTATCTTATGTCTTGCCAGTCCACTACCAACGATAGTCACGACGATGATGATGCTAATACTACAAACAGTTCTCATACTCTCTATCAACTTCTAGTCGATTGGTACTGTACAATCAAACTTAATAGATCTCTCTCGTCAGCTCAGCTAACAGATCAGTGGATTACACTATGGTTTGCCAAACGTGAACAGCAGAAGCTAGCAGATCAAAAACTAATGAAATATCATTCTGCTATCGAGTATTTCATTCACTTTCAGCCAAAAACTTTAAAAGAAAAGATGGCAATGATTATACTCTACGATCAAATAACTCGTAATATATTTCGAGGCACAGAAAATGCTTATAAATACGATGATATAGCTCGACGAATCGCTTTAACGCTGGTAGAAACTATTTCTCTCTCTACTCTACCAATTCAATTTCTACTAACAATTGTTATTTGCTTAATTCATTCGGAACAAATTGAACATCAAGATCTTGTTAAAAGTCTAATTCAACAATATGTATTGAGACATCCATCAATTGATCCAAATCTTCTAACATCACTGAGTGGCATAGCAAAAAATCATTATGATCGCATACAATTGTTTGGGCGAATTCCAGAAAGAAATCGTTTTATTGGTCGACAATCTACTCTGACAGAGATCTCATTTATGAAAGCTGTAAATACAGAAGAAATGTTTTAGCCTAAGTTTTTATTCTGTGTAGGAGAAAAAATAGTGTGACAGTAACATGAAGGTGCAGCTCAACAATTGTGTGTATACAATTATCGCGCACAGAGAGAGTAAGAAACAAACTGTATACATTCACAACTCTCTAACTTCAGTTTTAGTTCTCTAGATACCTGTGAACGCATTTTTTTTTCTTCTAACCTGACTGTAAGAATATCCAAATCAGACATCCTATTCTTTCTCTGAGCCACTTTGAATGTGTGGTTATTGATGCAGTCGAAGACATAACCCTCACGCACAGTGGCGTAGCCAGGATTTTTTAAGTAGGTGGCAATTTACCAGCTACATTATTTTTAGTGGGTGGCAATAGTGGGCAATTAAAAACTCTAGTTAGCAATAACTTTTTTTTTAAATATCTGGGGTGTGGGTGTGGAGTGTGGGTGTGAGTGTCGGTGGGTGTGAGTGGGTGTGGGTGTGAGTGGGTGTAAGTGGGTGTGGGTGTGAGTGAAGGGAAGACTTACACCCACAGCCAAATCCACATCCACACCCACCCACACCCTAAATATAGAAAGTCGTTTGTCGACGTTTGCTTTTAATTCACGAAGAAATGAAAGAAATACTTGATCACGATAAAATTCTTCTGGATCAAGAATATCTTGACCCTGTCGTCGTTGATATG